CCTCTGAAAGGGTGTTGCAGTGCTGTGAGGGGCTGAGTACTCAGTGTGCCAGGATCACTTGATGCAAATCACAGAGCTGGCTCTTGCTGTGCATATGTCTTGATCGAGATAGGGGAATGAATTTCCTCACAAAAGGAAAAGCATGGTCACCCTACACACAGTTTCATGTAACTCATGGCACACACATACTGCCTATTCCTGTCTTCTGAGGAAAGCCCCTCTAGGACTGCCAAGGAGCTCTGCAGACTGGTAACTACAGCAGATGGGGATAACCCTCACATACTCGTGTATCTTACCACATACTCTGTTGTCTCCTGCAGACAGAGATTCGCCAAAGAAGCAACTAAAGTCAGTATAATGTTTGAGCAGCTGATTGAAAAAATAAAGAACCTGTGGTACACAAGAGTCCTAGGCTATTAGCCGAATGAAGACAAGTCAGTGTTTCCTGATGTGAGTGTGTAACACCCTGTAGTGTCCTCTTTCTCCCTGCCCCTCCTACGGACCAAGATCAGTCAATAAGACAGAATCGATGCTCCTCTTAATGCCACTAGAGGGAACCCACCTTCAAAGACCAAAAGATGGAAGGCATCTGCTGAAGGCATCTGCTGAAGCCTCCCCGGAAAAAAATCAAGCGGCTGGACACGGGGAAGGCAATATAGAGATTGTAGAGTTCTTCTGTAGCCAAATCTTGAAAATTAATTCCTCCTGAATGGCTTGGCCATTCCCCCGCTAATAAAAAAATGTTGGTTGTTACACTTCCTTAAGTTTCTTGTTTGTATTGACGGTTATGGAATCTGACTCGCCTTGGCATCCCATTCTGCTGAGAAAGTAACTGTGATTCACAAGAAGTTTTTGCAAGGCAATGCTAACAAACCCTGAGTGTTCAGGCACTTTTAACTAAGCTCAGATTCTTCTTGGATGGAGAAGGCACTACCTAAGCATCTTTCAGAGTAGCCACAACTGACTGTGCTCCTTGGTTAGGTAGGAAGCAAGTACCTGTATCATGAGCCTGATGATTTCAGATAATTTGGGAAAACATGTGCCAGTAAATTAAACTGCCCATCAACCTAAACAGGACTTTGGAAGTGTGTTTCATTGGCCAGCCAGAGAGGCTACTGAATGAGCTTTTTCAAAGGAGAAATGAGTGGAAAAGTTCTCGCTATCTTGACCAGTTTAAGAGAGAGACACCTATGCCCAGCACTGTGCATGAAGACCTAGCAGGTCCTCATCAGTCCTGTGTAACTGCATCAGCCCAGATGCCCACACTGGACAAAGAAATCCATTTTCTTGCTCATTAACAAGCAGAAGCAAGTAGGCAATTTTTCTGAAATCACAGTGAAGACTGTGGCATAGGCTAAAGCAAGCCCATTCTTTTGTTGTTTTGTTTTGTTTCTTTAGTTATCAGTCAGATCAGCTATAAGCTTGCACTTAGCCACTTTCCTGGAATAAAATCCCCTCATTTTCCATTTTCTTTGTCCCAGCAGCTCTTTTTTACCATGTGCAATCACAATGAAATCAGTGTCCCCATGCAGAGCGGCAAGTTCTTCCATCTGCAATGACTTGACCACTTCTGCAGAGCTTTTTTGCAGGTTTATTCATTGCTGCTTGTTTTCCTTAGCCTGTTCTTCTCTGGCTACAATGAACGAACATTCATATGTATACATATACATACATATACATATACATATACATATACATATACATATACATATACATATACATATACATATACCTATACATACACCAGTATTTAGGAGGAAATTCAGACAGGCAGAAGTTTTGGCTGATAAGAACAGTAAGAACATTTACCACATGGAAAAGCCAGGACCTTTAGCTCTTTTGCTACAGGGATGATTTCCTTCCTGCTTGTTTTGCACGTGTCTGTTCAATTTTTTTCCCCTCTAAATAAACACTTTTATGGAGAAGCCCTGCAACTTAAATCCTATCTTATCCTAAGGAGTAATTCAGCATTCTGAATTTTCTCAGAATAGAGCTTGTTCTTCTGGCATTTCAGAAGTATTTCTTTCAGGAAGAGTGAAAGTCATGAGGCATATGAAAGAGCCCAATAGTCTCTTAAGAATTTGAGTGTCCTGGAAATTGGTGCTTCAGCCTTTGCAATCTATTTGCATGCACTGCCAAAAAGAGTAGGAAAGGGTTTGGAAAGTATAGGGGTCCTCATGTTGCATTTTGAGCCTGTTGTGTGACTTCATCAATGCAACCCAGTGGCATTTCTGCATTGCATCACTGCCCAGCTGGAGCAGTGCAGTAGCTGGCATAAATTCTGTGCTAAAACTTAACAAAGTTGACATTTTGTTAAGTGCACTTAATTATATCCTTTTGCTTCTTTGCAATGTAACCTCCAGAAAATCCAAGCCAGACGAATCCTGATTAGCAGTTTGATGTCTGATTTTAGCAGATGAACAAAACAGAATCAGACTCTAGATCTCTGTGTTCGTTTGTACTCAATCTCCTGATCATGTAGTTAGTTATCTATGCATTTTACATTTGAAAAAAATAAGAAGGAAACCTTCCAGGTAGTTAATCTCTTGTGCAATCTGCAATGTGGGGCAACCTATGAAGAGCAAACTAGACAACTTTCCACTGTCACTTCTACCCCTGATGTTACTGGCATCCTTTGAGACAGAAACTAGCAGCTGAGAAAGCATTCAGGCTGGGATTGGGTAGAGGAAAAAAAATAGTTTTATCCCAAAAAATGACCCTGGGGCAAATTCCTGGGACATGTAATGAGAGGGCCATTTTATATCTAAATGTTAAAATATTTCATATCTACTCTCAATTTTCAATTGGAATAAACAGGTTAATCTGTAATTTATTTTAAAAATATGTACAGAAATCACTTACCAAGTGATTTCTGTTGTAGAGTTCACTGAGTGCTTCAAGATTCTTGGAGAGGCTTGTAAGTGAAACATTAGTTTCAGTGAGATTCATGTCATAGAAACTTTATTGCTGAGTAATTATAATTCACAGATGTGGAAAAGCTTGTGGTGCAACTGGTTCAACTGAGTTAATTAAAATGAAATTGTAAGAAATGTCAGGTTTCTGTTGTTTCTGAGATGGGGGAATAACCCTTCAGGTGTTCATGATTTCTGCAAAAAACACCCTTTCTTGAAAAGTATTGATTATGTTGGGTACTTTACACTGTTTTCAGTGGCTCGGAGTGTTGATGGCTTTTACACTTCCTAGTTCCTCTCGCTTCTTTAACACTTGGAAAAATAACTGATTAATGTTAAAGGAACACATGCCTCGGGCTCTGTGCTGCTTTGAGCGGTGGTTGCTGCCCTTCTCGACGAACAGGCCAAGTCCTTCAGCAGCAGAAAGTCCAGAGCAGGATGTTTGAGAAGGCAAGGACTGGAAAAAGTCTTGTAAAATGTTTGAAACCTATGGCCGGTACTCACACCTACACACATTCCATCTGAGGGTAGCGCAGTTTTTGTCCTCTGGTGAGGGCCGTGCGGGCAGGCACAGCGAGGGGAAGGAGCAGGCTGAGATGCCAGACGTGCACTAAGGCGCAGACCTGACACTGTCATCGTTCTGAAGGTTCTGCCCTTCCCCAAGGATTTCGGCAAAGGGGCTTTTCCAGATTTTAAACGTAAACGCCAAAACCACAAACGGGGCTCTTGTGTGTGCATGGGTATATGAAGTCAGTAAGGAAGGAAAGGCACAGGGATGCAGCGGGGCGGCTGCGGGCCAGTGCTCCCTCGGAGGGGCTCGGAGGGACCCCTGGGCCTTGCGTGCCGGCAGGGCGGACGGGATCAGCCAGCGGCCGCTCCCTCTCGCTCCCCGCCCGCGCTCCCGGCCGCAGGGCGGGCGCTGACTCAAAGTGGCACCGCCGCCGCCGCTGCTTCGCACGCGATGTCGCCGGGTCCCCTCATCCCCCACACAGGGAGGGCAGGCACGCTCGGGCGGCGGAAGCTGCCTGGGGAGGACAAGGGGTACCCAGTCCAGCAGGGGATGCTTAGGGAGGCGGGAGTCGAGCAGGAGTAGCTGGAGGAAGGGAGGAACAGTTTTACAGCCATTTTCCCACTCTTTGGTGAGGCTGAGACAGGTAAATTCTCCCCTGCTGGCCGCTTGACCCCGTGGAATGGAAAGCGTGTTTCGGCATGGGCCGGGTTGGGTTGAGAGGCTGCAGCTGGGCCGGCGTTGGGTGGGGAGGGTTTGGATGTTGTTTCGGTAATACACAGAAAGGTTTTCGCATGTGTTTGTTCGCTTACCTGCGTGCTCACCAGAGAGGTGGGGGCTTCTTTCGTCTGGGTGTGTAGTGACCGCACTGTGCTTTGCAGACACAGTTTTTTGTGGGAGAGAAAGGGTGTGCCGAAATAGATGCTCCCATGTTGCAGGTTTCTTTATATTTAGATTTGGGGGTGATATGCAACTAGGCCACTTCTCGAAGTGTTTCTTTGTGAAATGTTTCATAAAGTGTTTCTGGGTTTGCTATTCAAAAACCTAGAAAATTGCTGCACAAGTCCAAGCTAACTGTTCCGACAGTGGCTGTGATAAAACTGCGTTATTAAATTTTCTCAGTGTCATAACATGGTTACACAGCATCAGGTACCGCCGGTGCCTCAGGGGAGAAGCATTAACCTGCTCACTGCCATATGAGAGGGTATCTGGGAATGGTTTAAAGAGCATTTGCTATCAACCCCGAGTTGCACTGATTACTGAAGGTCTTAACAGAAGAAATATTTACAAGTCATGCTGTACATGTCAGTGAAGAGCACAGATCCTTTATATTCACAGCTTCCTATCTCCAGGTTTACCATAGCATCCTTGTTAAATGGGTTCAGATGTTGATTTTGGGGCTGTTTTATTCTCAGTTCACAGTTTTGTCTCTTGAGAGACAAAAACTTCAGATGTGAGGGAAAATGTGTGAGTGACCCAGTGTTTAAAAACAACTGGATTAAGTTCCCTGCTGAGAAAAATTATTTGAAGATGGTTATTTTTTCCTGACTGTAACATTTTCTCTTCCTTCCAAAGGTCTTATGACCTTTTCCCTTTCTCTGGGGTGCCTGATGTTAAAAGTCCTGCTGGTGAAGGATTGCCCTCTTTGGAGTGGAGTACAGACCCTCGCAGGTAACCTTCCCTTCAGCAGGAGCTTCCAAGTGCCATGCTCAGATCAGCTTTGATACTTGGAGGGCACAGAACTGTAAAACAGTTAACGTGGTTGTGTGACCTGCAGGAGTAATCTGTTTTCAGCTGTGGTCAATTAAATCCAAAGTTTTGTTGTTTTGTTTTTGGTTGTTTTTGTTTTTGTTTTGTTAAGGAAGGAAACCCACATAAATCAAACCTTGTTAATGGCCACAGGCTGTGTCCTTAGTTTAATGCCGCTTTTTGTCAGTTAAACTGCCACTGTGGCTGTTGGCTAATTCAGCCTTTTAGGTCGCCCATACTTCTGAGCTGCTTTGCTCAGCATGAAAGTGGGAAGTCTCCTATTTCTTCTTTTTGGGTGGCAAAACTAGTTGGAGCTACATACAATTATTTTAGCAATCTAAGTAACTAATTAAGCCTTTTCTGGGCAGGAAAAGGCTTGTGGTTTTTAGATTTCAAAAGAGCTTTTATTATTCTAATGATAAGGTTGACTTGATAGAACTCTTATTTTGTAAAAATAACTGGTAGATTTTGCTGGAGAGAGAAAATGATAATTTTATTTGAAGTTACCCATTTTTCCAAATAGTACTTTGATACCCCACAAAAATAAATGTCTATTATAAAAAATCAACATACATACACAAGGCACATAATACTTTTACTATTTATTGGGAAGCAATGCTTCATCCAAAACAGTCATTAGTCTGATTAACTGTGTTTCTAAAAACGTCCTTTGTTCATATAAACTCCATCCTTCTTCTCAAGACTTCTTAATAGCAGTTAGGTTTAAAATTTTTCTCTTCAATTGTAAGAGCCTTTTGCTCCATCATATATTATTGTGGAGGGTTCACTGTGGGGTTGAAAGAGAGAGGAAAAGAAATATTTCTCTGTTGAATTGACTCACCATAAGTTAGTAATTTTTGCTAGCTCATGTGCAATGTTAGAAATATGGTGCAGGCAATTATCATCTGCAAACCTAGAGAAAAATTCTTGTATCAAAAGATGAGAACAGTAGGCACTGTTAGAAGTTTTTTGGGCAGCTCCTTGGCAGCTATCCACCATAGAGGCTTGACAGGTAATGCAGACATTGCAGACTCATGTCATAACACATAAAATCAAAATATGGAGCACAAATACAGAAAGCACTTCAGTTCTTGACACACATTTGCTCCCACAGTGTACCAGGGTTTATGACTGACTCCCTTGATGAAGAAAATCTCAGACCTGACTTAAATAACTGAGTAAATAAAAACCCTGGATTTGAAGCACCTAAATTGGTATGTGGCAGCATGTCTGTTCCCTGAGTGGACTATGTGTGATGCTAATAGGTGGTTATACCCTCAAGACCCTTCAGCTTTCCTTTTAAAGGAATGTTTGTTTTCCTTCCAGTGTGTGCAAGGAAAGTGTGTGGTTAAAGGGTAAACCTACAGTTCAAAAGCAAGTAAAAGGAACCTCTGAATAGATTTGCATGGCATCTCAGTATTTTCAGTGAATTTTGTGGGTTCTGAGGATAAAGGACGGCTACCTACCCTTGCAGGTTTTGGCAGATACATGTGAAAAATAATCGGTTAAGTGTTTGCTCTTGGTGAACCGGATGATTGGCTGCAGGCTTCTCCAGCTGTGTTGGTAATGCCACTTGTTAGAGCATGAGTCAAAACACAGGCTTGCTTTTTTGAGATAAAAAGGAAGAAGATGCATGTCACTATTTGTCCTCTCCATGAGCATGAGGCACTCTATGTCAAAGCCCGGTAGTTATCCTACAGCTGTTAGCAGTCGCTTCAGCCCTTGTGTTTTTACACTACAGTTTATCCTGCCCTTACAGCCACGGGAGAAGAGCAGGGAACAGAGATGCCCAAAGCAGAGAACACAGATGCCTAAATCACTGACACCTTGCCCTATGTTTTATCCAAGTTGCTTAAAGGCACTTTAAGGAAGGTGCAGCCAGCAGCATCAGGAAACCTAGTCCAGCAGCACAGCTGGGAGCACATATTTGAATGGCTCCACTCTCTATGTGAGGCCACAGAATTATGGGTTTCATGGCCATTCAGAGCTTTTGGAGATTAATCATTAGCATGAATTCTAAAAGACACACTAATCCAGCTGGGTTCACTACTGGGTTGGTAGTCTGTGAGTTAGGCTTTTGGTCTTCTCAATCAGCCAAACCCCAGCTTTCTTGAAGTTAGTCATATAAAATTCCAGTCGACTTTCAACAAAACCAGCAGTTTCCATACTGAATTTAGTTAGTATTTATTTGGACAACAGTGGAAATAAAGACCTGTAAGTATCATTAGTGCAGTTACACAAGTACTTAAAAATTAGAAGAGTATGAAAATTACCTCTCCTTTAGGAATCATCAGGGGTTTCAGACATTTTTAATAGCCTCAGGAAGGTCACAGCCTCTTAAGTGGCTGTGCAAAAGTGTGTCACAGCACCATCAGTGCAGTTGCCAAAACATGATCCTCGGAAGCTAGGGGATTATAAGGGTTGTTAAAGGTCTCTTCTCCTCTTCTCTTCTCTTCTCTTCTCTTCTCTTCTCTTCTCTTCTCTTCTCTT